ATATGTACGTATATACAGGGTGGCGCATCGAAAACGAAACAGACGCATTTACTGGCAGCTCAGTTTTTTTTGGAAAAACTCCCAGAGCCGTCGATTTTGTTTTCAAGGGGGACACAAGTTTGGCAAAAAATCACGTTAACACGTGCAGCCCCCTGGGCGGGGGTGACACCAACCCTAAAATCTTAAATGGAAAGGGGAGTGATACCTTATTTTAAAGGTCTTTCAATTCCCTTTATAATGATGTAAAATACATGAGCTTCAGTTCAGTGGTTTTGAAGACTTATTGACTTAAAACTTAAAGTAGACTTTAATAGGTTCATCAGATTAGTTTGTACTACTTTCAGAAGAAATTTGACTAAAAGTATCTTAATAAGTAAATGCTTTTCTTCACTACGCCCATGGTTTGTTTATCATTTTGTTGTTGAAAATAGCTATTGGAGCGTTTTTTTTTGTGGCAAAGAAGTTATTTCTTGTGGCAAAAAAGTTATTTCTTGAAGAAAGATAAGGAAATATCTCGTACCTATTTTAAATAGGAATTTAGTTCATAGTTTGCGATTGATTTGACCAAAATTTGTTGCTAAAATAACTTGTAACGCTTTATTACATAAATTAACCATGGTATATTCCACAGCAGAAAGAGTTGAAATGATCGAAATATTTTCGGAAATAATCAGTGTGCTAATAGAATAGCAGAAATATTTAATGAACGACATGAGAACAGTAACGTGCATCGAAAATATGTTCTAGAACTCGTAGCTAAATGTCGGGAAACTGGGTCAGTCGCCAATAAAAAACGCAACATTGAAAATCCCATAAGGAACGAAGCAAGAGAAGTGGGGGTTTTAGGGCAAGTTTATGTAGATCCTACGTTAAGTACCCGAAAATTGGAGACTGTGTGTGATGTTAGCCGACGTACTGTCCAACGGATTCTAAAGGCCCATAGTTTTCCTCCGTATAAAATACAGCTGGTACAAGAACTTAATGAAGACGATTTTGATCGGCGATTACAATTTTGTGAAGATATGACTGAACGAATTATAAACGATGAACATTTTCTATTTAACACTTGCTTTTCCGACGGTGGATGTTCCTTTTTCTTAAATGGCGTAGTAAATCGTCATAACTGCCGATATTGGTCCTAGAATTTATCATGAGGTTCATACACAGCAGCCACAAAAATTAAATGTTTGGGCTGGTATCTTTGGCGATCATTTAGTTGGTCCTTTTTTCTTACCTGGAAATTTGACCGGTGAAATGTATTTGAAATTACTGGAGGAGGCCGTAGATCCTGCATTAACAGCCATAATTGAAAATCAGAATGATCGGCGGTACATTGCGAATAGGTTGATGTTCCAACAGGATGGTGCCCCACCACATTACGCGTTACGTGTTCGACAATATTTAAATCAGACGTTTCCAGATCGATGGATTGGTAGAAGAGGCGCCATTGAATGGCCCCCAAGATCGCCAGATTTATCACCTTTGGATTTCTTGATGTGGGGTCATTTAAAAAGCAAAATCTATGCTACTCAGCCAACATCATTAGAAGACCTGGGACAAAGAATTGTGAATGAGTGCCTTCAAATTACTCCTCAAATGTTGCAGAATATGCGGCAACGTTTTGAGTAAAATCTTAATTATTGTATGGAGAGTCATGGTGGCAATTTTTAACATTCACTTGCCTAACGGGTCAGTTCATTCTTCATTTTTAAATTACTTTGCTGCCAAATGTGTTGATCTCCACTAATGATGATGTATTAGTTTTATTTAAGCTTTAAATCAATAAATCTTCAAAACTACTGAACTGAAGTACATTAATTTCATATCATCATAAAGGGAATTGAAAGACCTTTAAAATAATGTATCACTCGACCTCCCTTTCCATTTAAGATTTTGGGGGTGGTGTCACCCCCGCTTAGGGGCCAGCACGTGCTAACGTGATTTTTTGCCAAACTTGTGTCTGAGCGTTTTCGATGGGCCACTCTGTATATATTCCTGTTTTTACAACTTATATGGACTTGCTGTATCTGCTTTTATTGAATGATAATGTCATGAGTTGATGCTTTTCTGTTTAATTTGAACATCTTTTGTCAGACTGCTTTTGTATTATTCTTTCTCCTTTGACTTGTGTAAACACGCTGGTGTACTTAGCACAAATAAAGAATTGAAATGAAAAAAAAATAATATATACAGGGTGTTTCAAATTCTACGCTCACCAAGTCGCTTAAATGGGGACAAAGTAGCGTATTTAGATGATCAACAAAATGCCACAGTTTCGAAATTCAAAGTGCTTCCGAAGAGAGACGAAAAAAAACGAATTTTCCCAAAATCGTTAATTTTTTCCTGACTTTATTTGTAAAGAGATTTGAAAATATTGCGCATTAACATTGCCCCTTTTTCTCCTCTACAGGGTGGCGTAATTAGAATTTCAATGCAATGTTTTGTCTCTGGTCCTCCAACATCAACTTTATGTTTTTCTTAAGGACGTCATGTTGGATTTTTGCACAGATATAGAGTTTCTGATTCCGAAAATGTATTATACGTCATACATTGACATTGCAAAACTCTAGTTATTCAAAAAAGCAGAATCTTCTGGGTAGGCCTTGAAATTATCAAATACCAGATTTATACCAAAACCACTTTAATTCTTTTCCTGACATTATTTAAGATGGGATTTCAAAATTAATTGCATGTTGTCATTGTTACTTATTCTCCTCTACGTAGTCAAATTTTGAGTTCCATATTTCTTCTTCCGATTTCCACCTCCAACTTTGTTTCTTCATATGGAGGCTGTATCGGGATTCTGTACATTTAAATGGACTTTTTACTCCTAAATTCAGTATTGTATTTCCTTAATTGGAAACGAATTTTTGTTGGATGAAAAACATACTAAGTGACGTACAAATCTGAACACCCAGTTTAAATGGTTTTATTTTAATAAAATTTTGTATAAGTACTTAATGAAGCATAATAAGTAAATGATAAAAATTTCAAAATGATTGCACTGCTTTAAAGCCCTTTGACCTTTAATAATGTGTGGATGCGCCCTGATGTGCTACGCATTCTCCAACGCGCCTAGGCATGCTTCTGATCAGTTGGTCAATGTCCTCCTGTGGTATCTCATTCCAGGCAACCACCAACTCCTCTCGAAGTGCTTCTAGGACGTTGCAAATTGAGCAATCTCCTACCCATCATATCCCACACGTGCTCAATTGGGGATAAGTCGGGAGATCTTGGTGGCCATGGTAACAATATGTTGAAAGAAGTCTATTGTGACTCTTGCAACATGTGGTCGGGCATTATCTTGTTGGAAAGTTGGATCTGCCAGGGTGTCAAGATAGGGTAAAAGATGGGGTTCTAGAACTTCGTGGATATAACGCTGCGCGTTCATGTTACCTCTGATGAAGATTAAAGGTGACCTGGAACCATAAGCTATAGCACCCCAAACCATAACTCCAACAGTGTGATGAACATGTCTTTCAACAAAAAACTGTGGATTCCTCCTTTCACCACGTCGCCTTCTAACCCTGGCACGACCATCGTGCATGCCTAAACAAAATCGAGACTCATCACTAAAGACAATACTGTTCCATTCCTGATCCCAGAGTGACCGTTGTCTGCACCACTCAAGGCGATTACGTCGGTGTTCTCGAGTTAAAGGGAGGACCCAGTGTGGCCGGTATGAAAACAAGCCAAAACTTCTCATTCATCGGTAAACACTTCGCATGCCAATAGGTCTTCCGTGTTCTGCAAACCATTCATTTGCAATGGACCTGGTAGTGGAGAAACGGTCCCTTAAGGCCAATAATCTTAGGCGGCGATCTTCACGGTCTGTTGTTCTACGGCGGCGTCCAGTGCCCCTTGCCCTTTGCGTACGGCCTTCTCGAAGCCATGCCTGACAACACCTAACCACAGTGTCTATACTTCTTTGCACTCTAACTGCAATTGCCCGAAAAGAAAGTCCAGCTTCCCGAAGTCCCACTATACGGCCCCTATCAAACTCACTAAGTTGACGAAATCGTACAGGTTTCCGTACTCTAGGCATCGTAACCGATCGTAAAGGATGTCAAGAAGCAAAATCCGCCAACGTTGATTCTTTACTACGGCTGAAATATTCATTTTAGAGCGTTGGTGAATTAAAAGAAAGCAGTATAAAAACCGGAATGTCCAACTGATAAGGCTGAAAATTTTTTCACTTGTTATTTACAGTAAGATAAATACATTCACTAACTTTTATTAAAATAAAACCATTTAAACTGGGTGTTCGGATTTGTATGTCACTTAGTATATAAGGAAACAAAAAGGTATGGTGAAACCTGAACAAAGACTGAAAATTTTACTGATGGCAATAAGAGTAATAATACACAGCCAGAGTTAAATCATATCAAAGGTTCAAAATGTTGTCCGTTATTTTGTACGCAAAGCCTGACTCTTCTCTGTACATTGTTCACTGCTCGATTTATTTCTCTTCTTCTCAGTCTCTCAGACTTTATTGCTATGTTCAGTTTGAGGTCTGGTCTGGAATACAAAACAAATGAACTCTGATAATATCAAGGGCTACCTAGGAACTACGTTTTTCTGGAACTTTACTAATTACCTAAATACGCAACTTTTCTACAATTTAAATGTAAACTTCTTACCAGTTTCCGAGATCCCAATGGTGAGGATCGAATGTGAAACACATTGTATAATAAAATATTTAAATGTAAAACTTCCATATATGCGATAAACTCGGAATATGAGTTCTTTCAGGGCTGAATAATCGCCCCCTATGCTCTCTGATCATTTTCAGATTTACATTTACCTTTATGGTATTTGTTGTGCAAGTCTCGATGCTATAACAGTACTTTCATTTAAAATGAAAAATCTCATTTCAAAACGAAAGCCTTGCCCTTGTTTCGTGATACACGAAATAACGATGTTTTTATTTTATTCTGTGTATTCTGCACTTCTATCTGGGAGTAGACACTTCAAGACTACAATAGGGTTTTCCTTTACAGGTCCAAGCACTTTAATACACATTCAAAATGAGTTTGGTGCAGACATTCGGCGTGATCAAGAGCAACTTCAAGCTCAAACCCAAAGAGTATACGATCGACAACTGGGCGTTCAAAATGCATTACAAAGCTACGGTGCTCTTCTTCTTAGTTTCGACTATCCTGGTGACTTCCAGGCAGTACATTGGAGAACACATCAGGTGTATTGCTGATGGAGGTGTACCAGCACATGTGATTAACACGTTTGCTTCTTCACATCTACGTTCACAGTGGTAAGATTTATTTTAAGCTACTGTTTTGGGCACACTTGAACATTGTAGAGCAGTGGTCGCCAACCCGGTAGATCGCAAAGGTAATTCTGGTGGCTCATAACATACACATGTTTTAAAAGGTGTACAAGAAGCTTCCGTAAATTTTGTAAATTCTCGTAATAAACACAAGCAGCGGCAACACTGCGGTGAGCGATCTGTTCGAGAACGATCTCCATTACTGTGAACGGAATAAATACGCAAGAACGGCACAAAGTCCAGCGGTTGGGTTACAGTTGGCCTGCAATTAAAAACATTATGTGCAGTAGTAACAAAATGAAGACATTCTATTTCCATTCGGAATGGGAAGAACAATATTTCTTTACAGACGTTAAAGGTAAAAATGTATGTTTGTTATGTAATATATCTGTTTCCGTTGCTAAAAAAGGGAATATCGACAGGCACCATAAAACTGTAAAACCGAATTTTGAAAAAACATTTCCATGAAACAAAGAGATGCAGCACTGCAAAAATTTAAAAAATCAAAGCTTCAATCAGACTGGGTAGATTATAAACATTTGAGAAATTGTACTTTATCGTTGATAAGAAAAGAGAAGAAGGAATACATAGAATCTTTTGAAGGTAACTCCAAAAAACTGTGGTCAGTTTTAAAAAGTTTTAATATCTGGTCTACAAAAAATAATGAAATTCCCCAGTCTTTATCAGAACCTGATGATATTAATAGCTTTTTTGCTGCTTTTCTACAAAGTAAATGTAACTGTTCGGAAAAAATTAAATTTTATAAAAACAATGGTTTAAAAATAACATAACCTTAAACAGAAATAACAAATATAAACAAAATTTTAAACAAACTAAAAAGTAATGCAACCGGGATAGATGATATTTCGCCCTTAATGTTAAAATATTGTAGTCAGTACATAGATAAGTATATAACACATATTATAAACTGTTCCATTGAAACAAGCTGCTTTCCCGACAAGTGGAAAATCTCCCTAGGAAAACCATTACCAAAAATAACTAATCCATCAAGTTTTAACGAACTTCGTGTGATAAATATACTTCCTGCTTTGTCAAACATATTTGAAAGAGTGCTGTACGAACAAATTTAGGACTTTTGTATGAGCAACAACATTATTTCTGGTACTCAGTGTGTTTTCGTAAAAAATTTTGGTACATCAGTGGCTCTAACAAACGTACTCGATGACATATTAAGAGCAAATGATAAAAAGATGAGTTCAGTTTTGGTACTTCTAGACTTTTCAAAAGCTTTAGATCCATTAATCATGCATCGTTGGTAGCTAAACTATGTATACGTACTATGGCTTTAATAAGGAAGCATCTTTGCTCTTAAAATCATATTTGACAGGAAGGTTTCAATCGATTCTCAGACAAAGCGGAGATCCTATCGGGAGTTCCTCAGGGATCAATATTGGGCCCCTTGTTATTTTAATTTATACATCTGATATCTTTACGTCTTTAAAGTTTTGTAAAGTTCAGGCATTCGCGGATGACACCCAGGTTTATTGTTTTTTTTGATATTGAGGATTACAAATCTTACGAAAATTATATAAATGAGGACATTAACACCTTGAACAATCTCTCATTAGGTCACAACTTAAAATTTAATCCAGAAAAATCGCATGTAATGATTTTTGGTAACAAATCTAAGACTGAGTTTTTGAAAGCTAATCTCAATATAAGGGCTAATAATTCAAAATTGAATTTTGTTGAAAGTGCAAAAAATCTCGGTATAGTTTTAGATTCTCAGCTTAGATTTAAAGATCACCTGAAAAATCTTATGCAAAAACATCTATGGTCATTTGTATAAAGAAATTAAATGGCTTAAAATGAATGAGCGTCGCACTCTCCATTTTTCTAGTTTTTTATTAAAAATTATAAACACTAAAGGTTCACCTGATCCTATAAGAGAACGCTTAATTTTCCGACATTCTGTTCATGATATAAATGCAAGATATTTAAAAAAATTAACTATGCCGCTTCATAGTAGTGCATTGTTTCAACGATCATTCTCATACAATGCTGTTAAACAATTTAATTCAATTCCAACCAGTTCCTTAATCTTTCTCTTTCAAGTTTCAAAATACAATATAAGAAATATTTGCTAAATAGAAATCTGAACAAACTTTTTTAGAATAGAGATTGAAGTTTATAATATAGGTATATAAGTACAAAAAACATGTCAAACAAATTTTATAGTAAGCAGCAATTAAATTTTATAGTGGCCAGTATTAATTAATATCATTTTGAAATTTTAATATACTTTCAGTCCATTTAATGTTAATACGTGATTATTATTATGATTATTCTGTAGTATTGTTTAAGACGTATTACTATTATTATTTTTTTTGTCTTATTTTGGTTCAGTAGAGTAGATTTAAGCTAGACTTGCACCAATATTAGGCAATGTATTCTGTATTTTTGTTTTCTAAATTACCTTTGTAAGAAGATTATTTGTTTTATTCAATAAAGTCATTTATTGTTATTATTATTATTATTATTAAGTTCTGCAACCAGAACGGAAAAACTGAAACAATTAAAAAATCAGTTAATTGGACAACATACAATGTTTTTAAAAACAATCGTTGCCGGAACTGGAAACTTTAATCTTTATTGGAGATTTTGGTTTTCCTGTAGATATTACACAAACTTAATTTGCAGCTCCAGGGGAGACACAAAGAACTAGGAGAAAGTTTTGTTAATAGCCTACCTAACAAAAATAATAATAGGTACAAAGAATATATAAATTACGAAAAGCTGAAAGTATATATACTGAGTCCTGGGATGACATATAAAGGTCAAGCGATGTAAGTATATTAAGCATCTAAACATCTCACCAACATTATTAAAAAATATATCTCGAAGAATACTAACAAAGTTAAGATAAAACACAAGGAAATTCCTAGAAGCAACTGGGTAACTACTGGGCTAATCACATCAATAAATAAAAAAAAAATGAAAAGTACAGATTATGTCAGGCAAATCTCATGGAAGAAGCAAAACGAGATTATTTAAACTATAAAAATTAACTTGCCAATTTAATAACTGCTACAAGACAAACATATTATACGGAGATACTACAAAAAAGTAAATCCGATTCTAAAGCGGAACCAAATCTGTAACTCAAACAAGCCAATAACAAGTACTGAATAAATCAAAACTAATACTAATCCTGTAATAACTGCAGATATAGATATTGCTAACGTTTTCAATAACTATTTTGTTCAAGTGGGAGAGAAACTGGCAACTAAAATAAACACCAATATTCCATCTAAAGTTAAAGAAAATGAAACAAAATATTCCATTTACAGCTTAAAAAAATAAAAAGAGTCCAGGTTTAGATGACATACGGTCAGAGGTACTCAAGAAAATTGCGCCTGAAATTAAAAAACCATAACATTTTTTATCAAATTTCATAATTGAATCTGGGTGTTTCCCAGGCCCTTACAAAATATGGATAATAACACCAATTCATAAATCTGGCGACATATCTAATACCAGCAACTATAGACCAATAACATTAATATCTAATTTGGCAAAGGTAGTATCATAAAGGCTAGGCTCATTAGTTTTTTCAACGAAAACAAGCTTATACATGAAAATCAATTTGGATTTTAAAAAATTAAATCTACTCAAGACGCGGTTTACTTGTTGAAAAATTAATAAATTATTACAGCAAAGTAAATATACATTATGCATATTCTTAGACCTAGCAAAAGCTTTGGATCACTCCCTACTATTAGAAACTTTATACGATTAGAGGAAACGCTCAAAACTGTCTTACAGAAAGCAATATGTTCAAATAAATGATTCCCTAAGTTCAGAAAAAACTGTGACTTATGGTGTACCACAAGGGACAGTTTTAGGCCCGTTATTTTTTACTGTGTATATCAATAGCCTACTTAGCTTGAAGTCGCAAGGCACAGTAATATGTTTTGCAGATGACACAGCGATACTTTGTAATAATAACAATTTCCTGGGATAATCTCAAGGAGACTGTTGAAAATGACATTATTTTAATTTCAGATAGGTTTAGACACAACTATCTAACAATCAATATTCAGAAAACCAAGTATATATATATATATATATATATATATATTCACAAACCTTGAAAATAAATTACCGTCACTTACCTCTTTACAAATTAAATGTGACAATACAAGTACATTAATACATTCAGCTGATAAAACAAAATATTTAGGTGTTCATTTGGATCCTCATTTAAAATGGAATTTCCATGTTGATCATATAGTAAATAATTTAATACGATTATTTGTTAAATTCAAGTACCTCGACCATGAAGATGTTATATCATGCACTCATTGAATGTCGCCTAAATTATGCCATTTTAGGTTAGGGTGTTCTCACCCACCAAATTAAGAAGCTACAAATAATCCAAAAACAATTTTTGAAAATTATTTTTAAACTGCCCATTCTATATCCATCTGATATGTTATATTCCGAAGCAAGACTGCTCGATCTTAGCCAATTCTTTTTTTACAATATTTTGATCAAAAATAAAACAAACCTCATTTCATTGGACCACAAATATGAAACAAGAAGTAAAGTCAAAACTACTTCAGTTCTCCACTAGATTTTATAACTTTTTATCAAGCCATATAAAATCCATTTCAAATAAAAATAGATTCAAAATCGAAATAAAAAAAATTCTTGTTAAATAATAATCGGCATGAAATAGAAAAACTCACTAAAATGAAAATAAATTAATATTTGAATATAATATTATTACACCTACCTTTATGGTTATGTTGTGTTTAAATTTATGTATTAACTATATTTAACTATGTTTAAAGCAAAAATTGTTAGGAAAAATGTTTTTCCACGCACACGAATTCTTCTGTGGGATTATTTCAGCTTATTTGCGTATACAGGGACTTCGAAGTTGAGTCATTTATTTTAACAGTGAGTAGATCTGATCAAAAGAAATGTTTTTTTCCTTTACCATTTTTCTGGTAAAATTAAAGTAACAAAGTTATAGCCCTTTGGAGGTTTGAGTACCGCCCTGTCTCAATAATAATACCATGTGCTCGTGTTTGGCAACAACGGATATAATCCGCCTTATCGGTTCATCGCATCGGAAACAAAAAAGCGAAAGAATTTGGAACGATGTTTTTACAATTATTTTATTCAGTTCAGTTATACATACAGTCAGTGTCAGTCGAAGGGTTTATCTCTGGTCAGTCGGTAACGCGTGTGAATAGTGTCTGTTGCGTGGCTCAAACGAAATAAAAAATGGCACATGTTTATGCGGATCGGTTTCCCAATCGAGTGCAACCAACCCCTCGTGCCTTTGTTAATGTAGTACAACGGGCTCGTGAATCAGGTGACTTAAGACCTCACAGGGGACCTCACGATCAAATACAGGTCCGCACTGAAGTACTTGTCGGGAGGATACTTTATAAAACAAGGTAAAATTTTTTTTTATTTTTTTTTATTTTTACACACATATTTTGGTTTATCTTCCTTCTACAATCATTATCTGAAAATTAATGACTCAACTTCAAAGTTATATATATGCATATTTATTTTCAATAAACTGTAATACTTTACGTTATACGTGAATAAACTTATATTATTATTATTATTATTATTATTATGTAAGTTTATTAGTATGTATTAGTATTAGTAAAATAAACACATGTACGTCGCATACAAATATGTATATAATTATCGAAGTAGCTCATCACACTAAAAAGGTTGGCGACCACTGTCGTAGAGCGTCAACTTTCCGGTACAGATATTGTTACTGTGTTTTTGGCGTTCTTGGCCATTGCCAAATATGTCTCATTTGTGAGTTAGGTTCTATTTCCTTAAATCTTCATCATCATTTAAAATAAGTTTTATTTTCCAGCCCTACGTGAATATGACTAAAGAGATGGCAGAGAAACTTGAAATAGAGGTTTGAAAAAGCAGTCTCATAGAGAACGGCATGCGCGATAACTCTATAACTCCACGAGCTCTCTCTTTCAGCACCTCTGTTAATATTTTTTCTAGCTGTCCATCAATATTAGTTTCGTATAAGCTGGACGGCACAGTTTCCATGGAAGAAACATGGAAATTGGAATCACGTATTTACCTCGCAGCTTTCTGCCCTTTGTAGAGAAGGTCCTTATTTTGTAACTCACGTCTCCAGAGTGTCCGTCTAGTTTGAATCTTGGTGTGGATTATTATCAGCTATTTGACGTAAAAATATGACATGGAGAGAAATTTGTTTTTCCATTTTAATATACATCATTGGAATGGAGAAACCTTAGTTAATACATGAAAACGGCGAACATACAAAATCTATTTTCCATTTGCATGAATAAGCGGAACTACTGATTACTGCTAAGTTATTACTTTTGGATTGATTCTAAGTTATAGTAATTTATTGGTAAGCATCTTACTTGAGCAACAGATAACGGCTTGTAACCTTCAACAACACTACCTCCAGTACAATAACATTTTCATATAGCGTCCTACAGGGTTCGGTGCTGGGTCCGCTTTTATTCTTAATATATATAAATGACCTTCCTAATTGTAAAACAAACAAAACCTTATACTGTTTGCCGATGACAATAGTGTTCTGTAGTAGCAAATCGATTGATCTACTTTTCTCTGCGAATATAATAAAGTTAGAAAATTGTTTTCTAGCAAACAAACTGACACTTAATGGTTCAAAGACACGGTCCATGATAAAAAGTTTGTGTGATCATAACGTCAATACCATAGACAAAGTAGAATGTTTGTTGTCTGGGAACTATCCTAGACCATTTATTCGATAGGGAGTCTGAAAAGCTGTGTTTCTGGTTTCTCATTTAAGTATAGAATTAAGGCGTACCTGATCAAGAAAGCTTTTTATAACATCGAGGAATTTTTAAGTAATAACTTTTCGGAATGGTGTTGTGGTGTGCTTGTTTGCTTTGTATTTATTTTAAATTCAGAATATCATTTTACAGTTTTTGTGTTAATGTTGTTCTTCCAACAAATTGTATCGTTTTGTGAATTTTAACTTATACTTTGATATGTATAAGCTCGCAGTAAAGAAATGAAATGAACTGAAAGATCTGATTATAATCAACTGCTTTCTTTAGTTTTTACCACTAAATTCAAACTAGAGGGTGTACTTAACGGTAAAAAAATAGGAATATAATAAGCCTCATAACCTTACTAGTTCTTCCTTTCATAGGTTTGCAGAGCATGGGTCATCTATACCGTCCAGCTTTTTAAAATCATTTCACCTTAGAAATCGAAATCTCATATATTTTAGGTCAAACATTTGGATGCGAAACTGATAGACTCAGGAGGACTAGCTCATCCAGGAGTTGGACCGTACGGGATCAATTCTACGGAACCAGTCAAAAGGCACGCGTACTACCAGTGGGTACCGTTCGTACTGTTCGGGCAGGCTATTTGCTTCTACTTGACGCATCTGCTATGGAAGAAAATGGAAGGTACCGTTTCGAAGAACAAATTGTGTAAAAGTCTGAATATACTGTACTGTAATTTTGAGCATACCTTTGCAAGTTTTGGGTCTACTTCTAAATAGGAGGTGACTAAAATTTTAACTCGAAAGTTCGCAAAATAGCTGAGATAAGCGACCTTATGTTAAATGTGTTGAAGCTCCTCTGTTCGCTACTCATCTCTGAACACGATTGAATTCCATTTCATCCTCCATCCAAGTCTCTCCCTACCCCATACGCAATCATTGCCGACGATGCTGTGGGGTCAGAGGTACTAAAAGATGGGGACGGTATGTCGGTAACCCGATTAGACGACCTCCCTCAAGCTCGGAAAGTGAAATTAGCGCGTCTGCAAACTCTAGGTATGATAATGCAATGAAACAAATGGAACCCACACAGAAAATTCACTAAATAAATAAACATGTCCATATTGTTCGGATCCTGATATGACAAAAATGCTTTCAACATTCTATCACCGTATACTTCTGTGATAGCAACTATTTTTCAAGTTTTTATCAAAATTCAACACGAGCTTCTGGTTGGGATCGGAGCAAAGTTGGGAACCAGATTTCTGAAACAACCCTCGTACCTAGACGAAACGTTTAATGACTCCAATGCATTGCATGTATAAAATTAGCTTTGAATGTTACTATATCCATAATAAGAAAACGTCGATTTGTAAAAAACGCTTGTTCGAAAGGTATTTTAACAGAAAAAATATATTTCCATTATCTGAAAACACTAGGAAACCTTCAGTTTGGCATAAATATCAGTACGATTTGATGAGGTTTTTTGTTATTTTTTATTCCTAATACTACTACCTACTTTTTGATAATCATTACGTTGTAATTACACACAGTGATTGATCAAAATTTACGACTTAATTGATTGTTATAAAATTGCAGCTGCTTCTGCTATTTGAACACAACAAGCTTAAAATTTCTGTCAAGCTCCGGGCTTTATAGAAATGGAGAAACCAAATTGGGAAGATCATTTCCCATTGTCATAATAATAGGGTTCTTCATCACTTTTTCTTCTTTTTGTAATCGTTAGTTATGTTCAAAAATCCAATAATTGAAATTAGTCCTGAATTGTTCACAAAACAGGCAAACGGATTAACAAACAATTTTGAATGTCTTCACAGTGAGGTAGATGAAGCACAAATGAATAGAGATGTACGAGCCCCTTCCCACTTCAGTTGGCCCACTTCAAGATTTGTACCAAAATATGCCTTTATAAACTTTATAAAAAATACATATTTGAAATCACTTAGACCTATATCTTATAGAACATCTGAACAAATAAACAATGTGCGATTAAATGCGCGAAGTTAACAAAGCATCAATTGAAAGATTACCATTGGGTAACATCACCTTTATTTTTTATTACGGCTGAAATTTTTTGGGGCATAGTGTTAACCAAGTTTTGACAAAAATTTGGTGCAAAACAATCCCACATTTCTTGAAGCTTTTGTCTCAGTTCGGTGATTGTACGAGCAGGATGTTGTCGTGGAACCTTTTTCATCTCGTGCCACAAAGTTTCAATACGTGACAGATCTGGACTGCTAGAAACCCATTTCAAAAGTGGTACATTATTTTCTTCCATCCATTTTGTAGCCTTTTTTGAGGTATGACACCCAGCACCATCTTGCTGAAACACAAAATCTTGGCCGGATGTCAAACATTCTTCCATCACTGGTAAAAGCGATTTTTCTAAAATTGCCAAATATTTGTTTGTATCCACATTTCCATCAATAAAATGAAGTTTTCCTAATTCTTTTGATGACATACTGCCCCAGACCATAATGGATGCTGGAAATTCCACTTTTCCCTTCAGACAGTCAACATGGAATGCCTCATTTTTTTTTTTGAATAACTCTACTGCGACTGTCACCAAGTGGGAAGGGGCTCGTAGATGAAGGTATAGGATATTTAGATATAATGTAATGATCACCGGTTTCCCTATCTACTGCGGATGGTACATGTAGATGGTTGAGCTTTGGATATTTATTCTTTCAGGTGGTAGGATAAGATACATCGTTGATGGCCTGAAGTTGGCAGCGTTCGCTCTGCAAGAAAAAGAACTACAGTCAGGTGGAAAGACAATCCCTTCAAAGAAAGACAAGTAAGTTCCTCTCACCAATCCTTGATGTCTTAAAAACACGATTTTTTTTCTATTTGCCAATAGATACAAACAGAATATATTTTGATTCAATCTGTTTGTTGCAGGGAAGAAAAGATCAAGAAACTTCGCGAGTTCTTCCTCAAACGAGTCTATATAAACAACTTCTGGTCATACAAGTTGATTGGAATCGAAGTTTTGAACTTCTTGCATGTTATCCTACAGATCTATATAACAAACAAGTTCCTGAGCGGGAACTTCCGACAGCTCGGTTCAGAAGTTTGGTCAGAGGGGCTGGATTCGAGCGTGGACGTACTAGACGAGGTGTTTCCCAAGGTAAGGAAAACGTATACAGTTTGTTTTATAGACGATTATTGAGGGCTGAGAACCCCTTGGAAACAATGCAATTATTTGTGGGATAGTCAAGATACAGGTCGACCCTAGACATTAGCAATCAATCTTTAGATTATTTATGTCTGGGTGCGTCGATTGATTTGAATAGAACTTTTATCAGTCAATAGTAATCATATCAACGGCTCCAGTTCCAGTGAAGAGGTATTATATAGTTTCTAGAATTTCCGGCAATCTTAGCAAGAGCAAGAGCCGCGCTGTCTAGTTTTATGGCGCGAGAGCGATAACCCTTGCGATCGTTTGAACATTCTTTATTTCGATGTTTATTGTGTATTCTATATATCAAAAAAGCTTGAATCTCTATTTATACTCGGAAAATAAAATTTGGACTTTAACGTAGTCGAGTGTATCCGTACGCTACAAAACATGAATTGTTTACATTTTTAGAAGTATTATTATTCATTTTGTACGTTACATCCAAATGTTTTATTTTCAGATGTGTTCCATATATTTTTTGTCTATGTAGTAATGAGAAACTACAGCCTCATGCTACTCAAAAATATGTGGGAAATACAGATGCTTAGGAGGTGGTCTGTTATCCATGGACTAACAATGTGCTTGTAGTGTTTCCTACAAATTCCGGGTTTTTATGCAGGATCATTAATTCCAAATACTTAATATAGACAGGCCGCTTATGTAGTCGCACGTTTTTGCTTTTCAGTTGAAAACCACAATAATGAGTTTTTTTTTGGAAAAGTACGTTCAGCTAATGGAATTACATTATAACAGTAATTAGAAGGCAGGCGGTTGTAGTTAATAGCTATATCATGTCTGTTGAATCATTTTTGCAGAGTAATTTTCACTTGATTATGATTACTTCATCTCTTAACGTTGTAAAAAGTGGCGTCAAGTAGGTTGACTGACAACATTGTTATTGGTTAAAAGGATTACGTTTAGTGCAAGCTAAAAGCTCTGAGAAAAAATGACATGAAAATAGAGAAACTAAATAGATCGTCAGTCAAACATGACCATACCGGTAGCACTGTCGCAATACGAACAGATCAATTAAGCAGACCGTTATGCCGGGCGCTGAGGCCAGATAGCAGAAGGAGACGCGTATAGAAAACATTTCTCTATCATTCTGTTTTAAAGACGTGGAAAAGTTCTTTATTTCTTTAGGAGACTCTTCACATGGTCTGTGAACCTAAGCCTCAACCTACCTGGTGATAGTATAGTAGTATAGGAGTTAATTTTTTCTGTACCAATCTTTATCGATAACAGTGATATGACAGCCTCCCTCCTAGGCTCAGAGCAAAAATCATTGCATTGAACTTAGATACAATATGGAAAGTTTGTACGATTTTGAAAATTGACAGAGCCTTTCAGTATCAGAGTTTAAATTTTTTGAGCATCGTGGATATTATCTATATCAAAGTAATGAAGGAAGCAAAGGATTGTATCTCCGTGTCGTTGACATTTCTTGGCAAGTCAGCAACGTATAAAAGAAAAAATCGCGGCTCAAGAACTGATCCTTGGGGTACAGCAGTCGTAATTTTCTGAAGATTTGATATTTTGGATACGCTTACAGAAGCACATTGACCACGATTTTCTAGGTAACTTCTGAAAAAACTATTCGCTTTTTGACCGAAGTCATGGTACCTTAGCTTGGCACGCAACAAGTTGTGGCTGATTTTATTTGAAGCTGGATACAAGAACTACACCCAGCTTTTTGCCTAAATATCTGAAGATATCACAAATGAAGAAGAGGTAACGAGACATGCACATTTTTAAGAAGTACTAACAAGTCGACTGTAGGAACTAAAAATAATGAATCAATTGTATTATCAAGATGAATCTAAGGACACCTCAAATTACACAAACCATGAAGTTGTTTGCATTTAAAATCCGCCATTTTTATTTTGTAAAATTTCAGTATACTTAATGTTACTCGAAATGCCAAGATAAATATCAAACATCTTATACGTTGAAATTTATCAAGACTTTTAGGCGACAGCTCCTGTATATAGAAATTTCAATATTGCATTTTTTTTATTAAATTTAAGACCATTCAATTTTCAATCTCCTTCCTCCCTGTGGACCACCAACGTGCCACCATTTTTTTGCTGTGCAAATGGCTCTGGATTTTCATGGCGAAGATATATGTATGCTGCTAGTAAACCTCTATAAATCTCATAGGATTAGCAATGAAACCAATTATCAAGGTCAAGTTTTTGGTAAATTCCAACGAGCAGGTGAATAGTGATCTTGGATTTCACCTTGATCCTCACCTTCAGGGTTATCCCAAGGTCAACTTCATTTTTTAAGGAAACCCCTATTTCTGATACCGGAAATCGAAAGAGTAGAAAATTTTATGTTCAAATACGAATTGAACTTCAAGATCAGGGTGCCATCTAAAGGTCAAATATGTGTTACTAGGAGAACCTCCACAAATCTCACAGGATTAGCAATAAAAATATCATCAAGGTCAAGTCCTTAATAAATTTTAATGAGGGAATGGACGGTTATTTTGGATTTGACCTTGATCGTCGCCTTCAGGGTTATTCCAAGGTCAACTTCATTTTTTAAGGAAACCTCTATTTTGATACCGGCAGTCGAAAGAGTGGAAAATTTTATGTTCAAATACGAATTGAACTTCAAGATCAGGGTGCCATCTAAAGGTCAAATATGTGCTGCTAGGAGAACCTCCATAAATCTCACAGGATTAGTAATAAGAAAGATCATCAAGGTCAAATCTTTAATAAATTTTAATTAGAGAGTGAACGGTTATCTTGGATTTGACCTTGAACCTCTCCTTCAATGTCATATCAAGGTCAAATTCATTTTTTAATAGAAATCCCTAATTCTGATGCCGATAATCGAAAGATCGGAAAATTTCACGTTCAAATACGAATTGAAGACCAACGTCTTGGCGACCACTAAGAGTCAAATGTAGGTCAAATGTGCGCTGCTGGAAAAACCACTATGAATCTTAGCGGATAAATGATAAAAATAACTATGAATGTCAGTTCTTAAGTAAATTTTGACGAGTGATCTTCTATTGGACCTTGAACCTCACCTTCAAGGTCATTTCAAGGCCATTTTTTTCCAAATTTCCGGTATCAGAAATAGGTGTTTTGATTAAAAAAATTAAGTTGACCTTGGTCAAGTTTTGATGAGTGAACTACGGTGCTCGTTACAAGTGTTTTTTAACCAATAATGTTCCTGTGGGTTTCTTTAAAAAAATGACCTTGAGGGTGAATTTTGTGTCACGCTGTATAAAGTGACACAAAAAAGTGTCAATGTTACATTTTAAATCGCTGTGCGGCTTTAGGGATTCAAAGCCAGGTCATACTGCGGTTATCTTAGCTTTTGTTTCAGTTTAAACTTCGTGGATTTGACCTCTCAACACTAATGGTTTATAATTTGTGCCAAGCTTTCGTTGACAACATTTTGATGCGAAAGTTATTCAGAAAGACAACAATCAAACAAAATGATGCCGTTTCTATGCTTATTCCTTGTTTTCCCCTTGCCCGTAGTGCTACCACAAAAAGCACATTATATGTGACATCCGTGCATTTCAAAACTGTCTGCTTACCTTAATAAAAGCGAGAATTGCATATACCAAAGATATTTATTGCATAATGTGTGAATCGGCTGCATTTAACTTGAACTGATGTACTGGGAATTTATGATCCACATTACGATGATTTGTAGTGACGTTGAAAGTTTTAACATGTATCCAACTGACTTAACAAGAAACACAACGGATTGTTCGGGCTACTAATCAACGGTTTATTGGCTTGCTAAGAATTATTATTAGTTGGTTAGCGAGATGGCATTTATGCAGTATAGTACGGTGAAATTCAATAGACTATATTGCGGAAAATACATCAAGCATGAAACGATAACATCCTCACGAAATGTTATTGACAAGTAATAAGAAAAAAATAATGTGTTGGGCAGCTGAATACACTCCTTTATACGTCTAGGCATCGTACAAAAATGTGCGATCCAAGTTGCACATACCTTTACATTTTCTGCTCTTCAAAAATATTGAATTGCAACGCTGTATCAGCCCGGAAGACGGTCTAAAAAGCATGATGGATCCTGGAGGGTAATGGGGGAGCACTAAATTATAGATAAAAAAAACCACATTCTATAGGGGCAGGAGCTTGGTTAGATTTTGTCCAGTGGCGGCGGGCGATTGCCGTTGATGAAGTACAGGGTTAATTAAATTCCCAATATGGTGTGATTTTCCAAGTAGATAACATCTTTGTTTGTAAAAGCTCTTCAGACTTTTGAAAAGCAAAATATTAATTTCAAATTTACTCAGGGAGAAGCAGGTAGTCTGATTAATTCGGATATGGTAGGTCGGATGTTTGGTGTTGAATAGACAAGCCGTAAGTGCTATGATACCGAAGCATCTAAAATGCTACTAATTTGATTAATTGTAAAATATCTTACCAGTATCCAGTTTAAACACTTTCTGTCTCCAAGCCTCTTACTTTGTGGACCTAGGTTCAGCCACTTTATTACTTTTGAAAAAGCATGAATCTGAATCTGATCTATTACTAGCGTGTACGTCTAGCTTTACATATACCCTTCACCTGAATAAAAAGACCATCACACATGTCGCTATATAATAGAATTCTTTTTTGTTTATGATTTACTGCCGGGAAGCTACCAAGGAATACCAATAAAGAGAAGGAGGGTTACTGACGGCTGGTTCATCTGCAGTGGTTTCATACCTTCTATTGATTTCTACAGAAGAATATGTAGTTTGGCATGCCATATTGATCGTGTTTATACAAGGTGATCCAGGTTACTATTTTTACTGTCTAAACGATATACGACAAATAGCATTTTCATCGTTCTGGTTTCCTTGTCACTGTGCAATTTCAATAACTGCTATACGGATTCTAACAAAGCTTGGAATGGATTAAGGTACGGTCACAGGTTCGGAAATGGGTGTAAGGACGCTAAGTTAGTAATCAGAAAATAAATCAGAATATCCAAACTTTATGCTT